TGTCTGACCCGTATTTTCTTTCATTTTGAAATGGAAACACTTTTTCTTAAGAGAGATGTACTTAAAAAACGTTTGATTATGTCAATAAAAACTGAAGCTTTAAACTCATGTTTGACATTTTTGGAGAACCCACAGGTTTAAAAAAATTCATTTTGAAGAAGGCCACTGGTCACGAAGAGTTGAAGAGGAATGGTTTGGTAACGATCGGCGTCTCAGTAAAATCTGCAATTGTTTTGAATAAGCAGCAAGTTCTTTTAGTCATTCAACCTTTATTTATACAAATTAATCACACTGAGCCTCAGGGACGCATTTACACAGGAGACTGAGTCAGTGAGGACTTTCATTCAAAATAAATAAATTAACCAAAGTGGAGTGGTTTCACAGACAATATTTAAATTAGGTTAGAGGTCAGGTTAGAGTTAAACTTAATCCAGAGTAAAATAAACAAAATCATTGCTAAAAACCAAAGGGACCAAAAGTGTTAGTTAATTAATACGTGCATCCCTATAAATAACGCAAATCTGCAGCTAAATGGAGCAAACTTGTAGCTATAAGTTAAATGGAGCAAAAGCTAAATGGAGAAAAGCATATCTAAAAGCTAAAACTAGCAAAACATATACAAGTTAAATTTACTAAGACAGTAATTAAAAGCTAAAATTAGCAAGACAAGAGCAGCAAAGAGCTAAAAGGGATTTAAGGAAACAACTAGAGCAGGTATGCTGTAAAATAATAATTAAAAATATAGATCTAAGAGTATTCCTATGAGGATGTTTCCTGTGAATAAAGTTATTTTCTTTTATATTTTCTTAATTATCTTACATTTTATGAGGAGAAAATGAGCAGCCTTTTAATTTTTATCTTGACGTACAATTTCTGTTGAACGTGTGACGTCATGACGCATACCTGCTGGTTGACGTGTGTTCTGGTTAGCTTAAAAGGGCCGAGGAGTTTGATAACTTGTTAGCAGAACTAAACGCTTAATATTTAACGATCCAGCAGAGTTGTAGATGTTTAAAATAAACCAGGACAGTGAAGTTTAGCCGCTGACAGCAGATTAATTTATTGTTTTTAACTTGAAACGAACAGGAGCGGAGAGACTTCTTCAGGTTTGTGACCCTCGGCCTTTCCTCCGCTTCATTTCTCGCTTTATGTTCAAAACAAACTGACTTTTAACTCCTGTCTGTGATTAAAACCTGTCTAAATGTTTCCTGTTTCCCTGTCGAGTGCTGTTATCTACATTTCTACCGCTTTTAATCGCTGCGGCAACTGCAGCTAACTCTGTTAGCATGAAGTTTGGACCTGTTGTTTACCGACCGAGCCCGAACTCTGTTCTGTCTGAGGTTGTCTGAGAGGGTACCAGAGACCAGGAACCAGAGACCAGGAACCAGAGACCAGGAACCAGAGACCAGGAACCAGGGACAGGACTCATAGGTAGGGACCGGAACCATGGACAAGAATCAGGGATAGGGAA